TTAGAACATTTTGATTTTGTTGATTTATTAGGCAGGTTGATCTAGTAGGCTAGTTGATTTAGTTGAATTAGAACATTTTGATTTTGTTGATTTAGTAGGCAGGTTTATCTAGTAGGCTAGTTGATTTAGAACATTTTGATTTTGTTGATTTAGTAGGCAAGTTGATCTAGTAGGCTAGTTGATTTAGTTGATTTATAGAACATTTTGATTTAGTTGATTTAGTAGGCAAGTTGATTTAATAGGCTAGTTGATTTAGTTGATTTATAGAACATTATGATTTAGTTGATTTAGTATGTTAGTTTATAGCTCTGAAGATAGCTCTGAAGATTTGGCACTCTGCATATTGCTTTAGGAAAATGGCGCCACCCCCCCACCACCATCATGTCCATTGTGCAAGTCAAGGTGCGCCAGCAGCCTTGCAACTGGCAAGTTGGTCGGCATCTACTTCCAGTCGAGTTTTTATCATGCGGCGGTAAGAAATATATGAAATGTAACAAGAAATCTGCATCTTTGGTTGTAATTAAGCCGCCGGGGTGTGTAGCAGAGGAAGCATTAAGGCATAGAGTGAGCAATCATTAGGGCGCGGAAAAGGAGCGATTGGAACAACGTTGGGACGTCCGACTGGTACCTGAGTTAATATCCGGCTGCCACCGTGGCGGCGCTCATCCTCATTCCATCCATGGGTCCTTGTACCTCTCCTTCCTCTGCTCTTTTAACATCCTTATGAAGGCTGTCAAGCCCGATTTCCAAGTAGCGGCGGCACTCATCCTGCATGTCGCCGCCGCTCTCTAGTGGCCTAGAGGTCGTCGTATGGCAGGCATAGGAGGAATCCGTGAGAGTCAACGAGTCAGCGAGGGGATCATCACGTTCGTTGGGAACTCGATCATGCCTCCCTCGCCAGACCAAAAGATTTTAGATGCAATTCTCTAGATGACGGGCTAATATCCAGTTAATTTGGCTTTTGGGAATGACACCCTTTCGTAGGAGACCTTTAAACAGATAGCTTGAGTTCTCGTGAGAGAGACCAGGTATGACACGTGAGCACGCAAAAAATAAAAACTGAGGATGGCTCGACTCATGATCCATCACGGGAGAACATATCCTGTACTCCCGATGATGTACTACTCCGGCTGCACCGTGTGCTGCACAACTGTCGGATTGAAAATCTAGGTACAAGATGTAATGCGGAGTACTCAGCTTGTCAAATTTGCAGAAAGCCCCCCATATAGATACAGAATCACCAACGTTTAATACATTATCTTCAAAAGCTGTGCCACCCAGTTTGGAACAGAATGAACAGAGACATCATGTGCCTCTGTAGCTTGTTGTCTTACGATGATGCATTCATCCAACACGTATAAATACGACAACAGCCCCATGGTACAGAGAGAATCATGACTTTCCAAAGATGGAAAACATATGTATATATATATGTTTTACATACAAAGTGCACAACATGAACCTCATTCAGCAAGTTTATTTGAGAAGGTACAGCTAGTTCTAAGAAAATAAAGAGATAGGAAGTCCATGAACCAAGATTTGGTTTCATAAATCCTGCACCAAAGATGGAAAGACCAGAACATCAGGTGTGTTAAACACCTTTCTGAACTCAGAAGGCAACACATCAACAACCATCTCGACATTTCATAGCTCATAGTAGGACAGTTTGAATGCTTTGTGAACGAGATTCATGACAATACACATTAGTCTCATGCACATAACTAGAGTTGCAGCCAGCAGTTACAAGAAATGTATAGAAGATTAGTAGGTACACATATATTGCAACAGATTCAACATGGTGTACTTGAACTAGGTCCATATATCACATTAACAAACACATTTTTCATCCATTATTTAACACAAAGTAAAGGTTGTCCGCTCCATTTGGTGGGTTGTGCTGCAAAATATTAAACAAGTAAAAGTCAAAGGTTTGCAAACATACTAAACATGTTTTAACCGATGAGGAGCAAAATATAAATACCCGTCATGTTTGCCTCGTTAAGTAGAACAATATGCTGATGTTGAACCTTTTTGGATGCTACTTGCTCTGCAAACAAGAAGGACATCAGATTATGAAAACATGACAGAAGATATACTACTTAGATTATGGTTTATTGACCTTTTTCCTTTTGTTAATGGCCTCCTCTGAACCCCTCTTCAATCTCTTGCCACTGCCCTTTGTATTTGCAATATCAGGGGGATGAATATTGATGATGCTTGGGAATGTTGTTCCAATAAAGGATTCAAACTCTTGAACTTTACTTTGTTCGTCAAGTGGCGCCGTCTGCCTCAAGTGTGCAAGAGCATCAGCAACAACTTTGTTTAAGTATTCCATCTTGTCCTCACAATGTCTAGCTTCATGCAATGCCAAGCTGAACCGCGACCATGTTTGTGAATACAATTTCTTGATGATAGGTGAAAGAGAAGTAGATGACCCTTCCATCTCATGTCCATTGGCATCATAGCAAAGATGTCGTGCAGCCATTTTAGTCCACCTATGCAGCACATATTGGCTAGGAATTTCATTACACCCATCATTCTTTAAGACAACAATGATGTGAGAGCAAAGTATGCCCAATGATTCAAACATTCGACAAGTACATTGTGCAGCCTTTGTATTAGTGTTGAAGCAGACAGTTATTATCCTTCCACTAAGGTCACCAATGCTCATGGTTCGGACATCACCAACCCGCTCAATGGTTTTGACATGACGACGATCCCTAGCAGCCACCACCTCACGTTGGAAAGCAACAAAAATATTGTGAGTATACACTTCTCTGGCATGAGCCTCAATTCCCCAGCAAGTCTCGAGTACTGGCAAGGTATGAAGTGCACAATTATCCTCTTGCAACTCCTTTTGTCGTTGCTCTTCCAAAGCGGTTTCAAATCTTACCCAAAACTCAATCAAGGTAAGCTTTCGGTTAGTGAAGTGTCGAAAAAATGCATTCTCACTCTCAGATCTAGATGTTGTACGTAATATTCCACCAAGGGAGAACTCCATAAAGTATGCTGGAATCCATGATTCCCGTAAACCATACTTCTCTTTCAACCATTCATTATCCTCTAGGCCAAACTCAGAAATTATTGAGGACCACCGTGATTCGAACTCATCTGGAGTCTCTGATCCCCGGACACATGCCATGAATCGTGGTTTAAAATCTTCATTGTCTCTCAAGATGGGTCCAACCTTTTCAGGGAGTTTCATCAGAATATGCCACATACAGAGTCGATGCTTTGTGTTCGGAAATATAGATTCTATTCCTCTTCTCATGCTTTGATCCTCATCGGTTATGACTAGCTTTGGTGCAACCCCACACATTGCTTTCAAGAAAGTCTGAAATAACCATTTGTATGATGCAATCTTCTCGTTTGACAAGAATGCAGCACCGAATGTAACACAAGATTTGTGATGGTTAACTCCAGTAAAAGGGGCAAATACCAGGTCATACTTGTTAAACCGATATGTAGAATCGAAGGATACAACGTCACCAAATAATGAATAGTTCTTTCTACATATACTATCAGCCCAGAAAATATTTGTCAGTTTATTGTTCTCATCTACCTGGTAATCAAAATAAAATGCTGGATTGGCCTTTTTTTTATTTTCCATTATATCTACTATAAGTTGTCCATCTGCTCCCTTAATCGCTGCCTTGAAATCACGCTGACAGTTTTGTAAGTCATGTTTTGTGCAACCGATATTTTCTGGCCCACCCTTCTCTATGCTAAGCAAGCGAAAAGTTTTTGAAGTGCCAAGCAATGCCTTACTGCATGTAAATAATTTGTTTCTCAAATCACTAGTTACCTCTCTATTTGACCTGATGAGATGCCTCTTACTTGGTGAGACAAGTTGGTGCGTGTGCGATTGAACAAACTGGACGACCTCGTACTTGTTGTCATCTTGCCTCTTCAATCCCATCATAGCCTTGCAACCGCATCTGCTTATCTTGATATTTCTTTTAGCCTTTTTTCTCCCCACTTCTTGAGTAACTTGACCTAGATCCACTGATTTTCTCTTCCTCCAACCTTGTCTTGCGCAAACAAACTTCTTCCAGATTATTACACCACCCTCTCCTTTGTGTTGTGTCCATACGCGTACAGAGAAGCCAACCTCATGAGCATACATTCTATAGAATGCCAAACCTGCCTCCCAGCTATCAAATCGCATTCCAATTGAGGGTTGTAGGCTGTCATCACACTCTGGCTCGTAAGTTGACCCTTGCGTAAGTTAACACAATGGATTAGCTCCAGAACTGAAACCCATGAAACTAGTAAATGAAATCACTAAGTAATAAACTTTCACACGCGGGTAGGCTACTGGTTCTTTTCGGTGTGCTGTAACGATCTTCATCATTTATGCCAAATCTCGTTTGGACCTATCAATGTTGTTTGAACTTAAGTCAAGTGTGACACGCACAGATGAAACATGAGTAATATGACAAAGAAATACCATGGAAAAATTGTTGGCATCATCTTCAAGTCCCATCGCTGTAGTTGACCCGACACTTGGAGCAATACTAGTCATTGACTCCATCATTCCTTGCTCGACGCAGCAAAAAGTGTAAGATATTACATGCAGGTGCCCCTAATTAGCTTGTCAATGAGGTCTAAAAAGTAAGTAGCGATGAAAGAAAATGTCTAATGCAACATTTAGATGTACTAAAGAAAAAGAGAGAAAACGGTGCTAATGAAGAACATTCCTGAGTACACCAGCATATATTTCCCCGCACGAGTTCTTTGTCCACTTACATGGACCCCACGACCGTACGCCACTAAAACCATCTCATGTGCTGCTTAATTTGCTCCTTCTAGTTAATTAAGTGCAGATTCATTGCTTATATGCCGGTTACTAACTCCATCCTAACTGGAATGGTGGTCGGTCCTTGAGAGAGAGATAGTAGCAGAGGATGAAATGAAATTAACTGTTGTATGATTGCTTGCATCCACTGATTTCAGAACAAACAAACATAAATGTTCAAGCAGTAGCTTATATTTTTCGGACTATTCAGTCTTCAACCACACATAGGATTAGGATGGACATGAAGAAAATGAAAGGAATCTGAACCAAAACTTGCAGAAATATGGATTATGTTGCATCTAACTTGTCTTTTCTTATTGTTTCCTTTCCTTCTAATGAAAACTATCTTGCTTATCCATACTGCATTTTCTCTCTTGGTTGTGTCAGCATGATTGATTCTACAATATAACCAACGATTCAACCACATCCAGATGATCTGACTAGATGTGTATGGACTTGCTACTATTAACCTCCATTAGTTTGTACAAGTTCTACGTGCTTCATCCACAGCACACACAAAACTAAATGTTCTAAGTTGCTGACATTTTTCTGTACGTAAATTGCTGACATTTTTACTTCGAACTCAGTTAAAATTACTTCAAACTCATTTCAGGCCATAAGTTGCCGACATTTTTTCTATTTATAATTTCTCGAATATGTAGTCTAAGCAAAATATAGCAAGTTATTTCAGTGATATATTGCCTGCGCCCTGATACAGAGAGAGATCACCACATTTTACTCAAATAAGATTAGCTACATCTAGCACAATCAGCATAAAGGGTTGATGGATTAGAACCAAAATACACGTATAAGAATGCAGGTCCGTAACATCTAAAAGGATACCTGAAGGGCTGGAGTTCTCTTCTCTGGCGACGACGGATCTAGCCGCCGACGGATGGCGGAGGTAGGCGCCGGGTGTGGTGGGGGGTGGCGCCGAGGTGGAGAATGGAGGCACGGGGATGGGGCGGATGTCCGTTGTACGTCGGACCACGGCGAGGTCGCAGGGCAGCCGCCGGTGAGGTCGCAGTACAGCACACAGCCAGGTCCGCCGCCGGAGCCCTGGATCCTATCTGTTCGTGTTCGCTCAGCTTGGGGCAGCACAGGTTGGATAAACTTACGCCTATTCTGTTCTTAGCTGGGGTGTTTTTTGCAAAAACTTAAGGCTGGGGCGTTCTGGTCCCATCCCGTCCCTTCATTCCGTACCCAACGTTTGAGATGTGCAGGGTGCAGCCGGAGCATGGAATCCCTTGAAGCACAGGATATTTTCCCTCCATCACGGGACAATGCTAGATATATGTTGCACGTACATCACCGGACAATGCTAGATATATGTTACACGTATCTTTTTTTGGAGGTATGACACATTAGCATACAGAAAAAAAACTAAGGATAGCATGACTCATGAT